ATGGGACAGACACACGAGACAGACACATTAGACACAAGAAACATGAGACAGACACACGAGACAGACACATGAGACACAAGACACGTGAGACAGACACACGAGACAGATACACGAGGCAGACGCATTAGACACAAGACACACGAGACAGACACACGAGACAGATACACGAGGCAGACACATTAGACACAAGAAACATGAGAGAGACACACGAGACAGACACATTAGACACATGAGACAGACACACGAGACAGACACATGAGACACAAGACACATGATACAGACACACGATATAGACACATGAGACACAAGACACATGAGACAGGCACATTAGACACAAGACACACGAGACAGACACACGAAACAGACACATTAGACAATAGAAGCATGAGACAGACACACGAGACAGACACATGAGGCACAAGACAAATACTGCTTTATATTAGTTTTAAGGAAATTTTTTACCAGGAAAGCGAGTTTAAAACAAGTTTTAAAAAATGTATCCACAAACACAAAAATTGCACATGGATACAGAAACCGATTGTTTGGGATAGTTTGAACTTGCAATGTTGGATGGTAGAAAATTGCCTGTCTTCTATTTCAAATACTTCTTAATCAGATCTTTTTTTATCTATTGATTATTTTTTTTTTAAATAAAAAGATATAACATAGATATTTACCAGGGTTGCACAGATCCTGATTTCGAGGGTTCTATGAATGGGATACTATAAATGGGATACTATGAATGGGATAAATAGAATATCCCCATATTTATTATAGAGGCATGGGATTCACACTACAACAAATTGAAGCCAATTTTAGCTTGATTAAAAAAAGTATAACGTACCCTAGTCCTTGATACTCATAAATTTGCTATAAATGTCCATGAAAATATTTGGCTCCTAAAATTACCATTATATAAAGAATGACTCCCATGGCCCAGATATCGTGGAGAGGGATGTAGTAAGGGATGCCTTGCAGAATTTCAGGGGCGGCGTACGCTGCACTCCCACAGAACGTTTTGCTGATGGCCGGCTCCTCAAAGTAACGAGAAAACCCAAAGTCGGACACTTTGATGTTGTTTTGGTAGTCAAGGAGCAAGTTTTCACACTTCAAATCTCTGCGGAATCCAACAAAAACAATAACGGCGGTAACCATGTTACTAAGCAATCATTAGTGGGGGGGGGGGGTATTCAATGCGAGACTTCGTCACTTCAAATCTCTGCGGAATCCAACAAAAACAATAACGGCGGTAACCATGTTACTAAGCAATCATTAGTGGGGGGGGGGGGGTATTCAATGCGAGACTTCGTGTAGCGAGAATCATGTTAAAAGGCCAGCCTGACTGAGCAGAGGCGTCACTAGAGTTGGTGTCACCTGATGGGGTAAACTCATGGTGTCAAATCCCCCCCCCCCCCAAACCATACATACACCGATTAATTCTGAACCAGATCTTACACAACTGTGAGCAGTATTTCTTGTAAATAAGGAATGTCCCGAAGAAATTAAAGACAGGACAAAAGATGGAATGTGAGGTAACAGCATTTTAACAATAAAACAAAATTTCTTTTTAAGGAAACATTATACTTTGCAGTTTAACATTTTCTTTCCTGTTCATCAAAAGATGCAAACATTTCATCACAACTGCTTCAAAATCAACATTCTTCACCTTATCACTATCAACTGACAAATCACAAGCCTAATCTGCATTGATTTCTATTATGAAACCGACTTGAGCGAACTCTGTCACATTCACATTTTCCATTTGGTGTTACCACCCCCAAACCTGCCCCCCCCCCAATAGTGATGGTTCACAAGGTGGGGTCCGCACCCCCACCCCTCCTAGTGACGCCCACTGTGACTGGACATAGTTTAAATTTTTTTTATAGAATTGGCAGATACAAAAGAAAAGGGAAAAGATGCTTATGCTTGACCTACACATTTTTTGTTTATGTTAATTTAGTCTTATTATTCTTAGGAATAAAATGAAAATGGGTTTTCGGAAAAGACGCAGTGGTTCTTTTCCATTGGTACCCCAACCGTAAGCATCCATAAGGGTGTCTTGGTCCGTAGTCATCAAATAAGTGTGCCTTGATAAGTCTTGTGAATGCCAAACATCACAAACACAAGCATTATGTGCCAAACACTGACCTCCCCCCCCCAACCCCCCAACCCCCCCCCCCAACTGACCTGTGCGCAATCTGGACTCCGTGCAGGTAAGACACTGCCTCCACCAACTGTCTGAACATGACCCTACACCTGTCCTCAGGTATCGCCCCTCTCAGCTTAATGTATTCCAGGAGATCACCGTGACCCGCGTGTTCCATCACTATATAAACCTGGGGATACAAGGTGGTCATGAATCATTCCATCACTATATTATATACCTGGGGATACAAGGTGGTCATGAATCATTCCATCATTATATTATATACCTGGGGATACAAGGTGGTCATGAATCATTCCATCACTATATTATATACCTGGGGATACAAGGTGGCCATGAATCATTCCATCACTATATAAACCTGGGGATACAAGGTGGTCATGAATCATTCCATCACTATATATACCTGGGGATACAAGGTGGGAGTGAATCATTCCATTATATATAGCTGGGTAAGCATTGTAAAAATAACTTTACATACCTGTGAAATTAATGTGTATTATTCTATCACTATATATACCTGGGGAATTAATGTGAACTATTCTATCACAAGGTGGTCATGAATCACTCCATAACTATATATACTTAGGGTAACAAGGCTAAAATTACTAGATATACCTGGGGAAACACTGCGACTATCAGAATGTATACCAAGGGGAAAAGTCCGACTATCAGAATGTATACCTGGGATAAAAAGGTGAATTAATGCCGGTAGAAATTTTTATCGCGAAGAAGATGACCATGAATTATTCGCGACATAATTGTATGTAAACATCTTTTAACCAAGCATAAACTATTGCATATTGTGAACTTAATTAATCTGCAATTTTAAAAATGTAAATAGTTTAAGAGTTATGGCTCCTCGTCTTCTGCTAAGGATATAAACAGTAAACACAGCTTTTAAAAATGAAATTGGCGATGAAGGAATCGTCATTTTAACATCTTTTGTGGAATGACAATGAAAGATGAAGCTGAGTTGCGTTTCAGACATTTGGACTGGATTGGAGAGGGCTGTGGGTTTGAGACCAGGGCGGTATCAGGAGAGGTAAGGATCACGCATGAGAATGATAGATTGGGGAATGAGTGCTGGTCTTATTGCAGACCGGTACGAATGTCCCAATTGTGAGACCGGTACGAATGTCCCAATTGTGAGACCGGTACGAATGTCCCAATTGTAAGACCAGTACGAATGTCCCAATTGTAAGAAAGGTATGAAAATGTGTACAAAGGTGGATGTCTCCGGTGGGTTTTTGTAAGGAGATATCGCGACACAAGCCATGGTAATATTATGTGTACACAAGGCATGGTAATATTGTGTGTACACAAGTCATGGTAATATTATGTGTACACAAGTCATGGTAATATTATGTGTACACAAGCCATGGTAATATTATGTGTACACAAGTCATGGTAATATTATGTGTACACAAGCCATGGTAATATTGTGTGTACACAAGCCATGGTAATAGTATGTGTTCACAAGCCATGGTAATATTATGTGTACACAAGCCATGGTAATATTATGTGTACACAAATCATGGTAATATTATGTGTACACAAGCCATGGTAATATTGTGTGTACACAAGCCATGGTAATATTATGTGTACACAAGCCATGGTAATTTTATGTATACAGAAGTCTTGGTAATATTATGTGTTCACAAGCCATGGTAATATTATGTGTACACAAGCCATGGTAATATTATGTGTACACAAGTCATGGTAATATTATGTGTACACAAGCCATGGTAATATTGTGTGTACACAAGCCATGGTAATATTATGTGTACACAAGCCATGTTACTATTATGTGTACACAAGCCATGGTAATATTATTCGTAGCTTAAGGAAGGGACCTTGGGTTAGTGACAGTAATTTGACGTTATGGGGCACACTTTTATTGACACAATTTGGGATTTTAAAAAAAAAAAATGCAACCGAGATGTCGTCCATGGGGGAAAGAGCATGGCGTGCGGACTTAAGCATTTACCGTAAATTGGAAGAAGTGTGTTTAAAAACATTACATTAAGACCTTCTATTGACTAACAGATCTCATCTCTTTAACACACTTACCTTCTGCTCAAACTCTATAATCTCATACAGCTTTATAACGTTAATGTGGTTGACAGCTTTCATGCATTTCAACTCCCGCGGTAGGAATTTTTCCTTGAAATCTTTAGGTGCGCTGCGTCGATTTATAATTTTCATAGCTACCCTTTTTTGCAATTTGTCACTGTACGCGCTCTTCACTTTGGCATAGGATCCTTCCCCGATCGTCGTCCCTATGCTGTACCCGAGTTTCTTCAAGTATACCTCGTCGTCAGAAGTTGCGAACTCTTTAACCACAGAACCGGTCATGATCTGTCGTCAAGCGCAATCCCTGTGTTGGACGAAAGCGCTCCTGACGGACCTATGATAAATGCTAGCCAGACTGTTACAAAAAAACGGAGCGATGACTTGATTAGGAAGGAAAAATTATCACCAGCGTTCCGCTTTCATTTTACTTTGGTGCTGTTTGACGCTTTGAAGAAAAAAAAAAATGTAGCAACTCGAAATTTGCGGAAGTGCGTCATGGAGTCAATATGACGTCATTCAATCAACAAGTAAAACACACGTTTTGCCTTTGAGCCGATTGCTGTTTTTTTTTTCAATGGTGGCATCAGGACAAAAGGATGAATAATCCTAAGTGTCCTTTGGACTACACCTTTCCCGTTGCTCCGCTTAGACAGTACACACCCGACGGTAAATAATTTGAAGAAGATTAAAAAAAAAAAAAAAATGACAAAAGGATGAATAATCCTAAGTGGCCTTTGGACTACACCTTTCCCGTTGCTCCGCTTAAACAGTACACACCCGAAGGTAAATAATTTGAAGAAGATTAAAAAAAAAAAAAAAAGGTACATATTTTTCTGTGTAAATGTTGCTGTTACTGTTAGACCTCCAGATATATGTTGCCAGCGAAAAGAGCAAAGCTTGACATGGAAGACGACGGGGAGCGCCTACGCCTGCTTGAGGATGAGCTTCAGGTAATCCAGGCGGAGGTTGAGCCCATTGAAGTCAAGCGATCTAGCACGTCGAGAACTGAGTCGGTCACCTACAGGCCAACATACCGAGCAGTTCTAGCCAAAAATGGATATCTCGTGAGAAAAACTTTGGGCAATGGGAGCTACTCGAAGGTAAAGCTAGCCATATCTCTAAACAAATCAAAATCACTCGTCGCGGTGAAAATCGTCGATCGGAACAAAGCGCCTAAAGACTTTCAAACAAAATTTCTTCCACGCGAGTTAGATATCTGGCCTGGGCTGCGCCATCCGAACATAATTAAAGTTTTGGACGCTTTCGACGACGGTCGCCGTGTCTATATGATTCTAGAGTATGCTGAAAATGGTGATGTGCTGCGTTATATTCAGAAGGTAGGCGCGTTGGTTGAGAATCTGGCCAAGGGATGGACGTGGCAGCTCTGCGATGCGGTTCGATACCTCCACGACTTGAACATCACGCACCGGGATTTGAAGCTCGAGAACCTCCTTTTAGATAAGTCTTTCAATATTAAGCTCTGTGACTTCGGCTTCGTCAAAGGGGACTGCACACTGAGCATGAGCCAGACATATTGCGGCTCCAAGTCGTACGCCGCCCCTGAGATACTGAAGGGTGAGCCGTACGACCCAAAGAAAGCCGACATGTGGGCCATTGGTGTCATCTTGTACATCTTCGTCACGGGCAAAATGCCTTTTGATGAGAGTCGTGGCAACAGCGGCGTACTAGAAGAGCAGAAAAAGTTGGAGTTCCCTTGGCAGAAGTACAAACGGGTGAGTTTTCCTTTTACTTCCGCATAGAGCTTCAAGTAGTTAGTCTTGGACAGAATGTTATTTCCTCCGTAATTTGGACCTTTGTGTGTGTGTGTGTGGGGGGGGGGGGGCTTTTTTTTTTATGGGGTGAGCACTGAGCTTAAGGTATTTATTAAGAATGTTTTCTGAATAGGATTTTAAAAGTACACACCTTTGAATCATGTAAGACCTTTTGGTTAGTCATTATTTTAAAAAGTTAATGGGTATTGTCCGTTCGTAGCTTAAACAATTCACACAATCTACACACCCAGGTCTATGTATAAAAATTTGTATATGGTAGTAAGTGACCATTGGCCGCACTGAGAGTCCCTGGTATGAAATATGCTAACTCTTCTCATTGGTTTAACCATTTTTTTATTTTTACAAAATTAAGTTCACATTTTAATGTAGATTTTGTATTAAAAATTTACTGTTACAAATGAAATAATAAAATATCATGTTGTCCATATGCATGAGAAATTAATGTCAAGAAATAATTTATATTTTTCCCACTGTAGGTTTAGCATAAACATTTGTTTCAATGGTTTAATTCGACTTGTTTGTGTAATATCTTCTCTCTGCTCAACATCTTTACTGCACGGGTCTGATTGTCTCATACACCGCCATAGTCACTAAGGTACCTTATCTTTGTTGGATTTTCTCATACACTGTCATGGTCACTAAAGCATCTTATCTTTTTTCGGATTTTCTCATACACTGTCATGGTCACTAAAGCATCTTATCTCTGCCCAGGTCACGAGTGAGGAGAAAAGTCTCGTACTGAAGCTGTTTACCCACGACTTTCAGATGAGGCCTGATATTCACAGAGTGATGAGAAACAGATGGATGGACTCGGCCCAACAAATTGAAGCAAAACTAGGTAAGTCTCTTTTACACTGCGTTGTAGATGCCAAGTCAGTTAGAGGAGTCTCTGTCGCACCTGCGTTGTAGATGCCAAGTCAGCTAGAAGAGTCTCTGTCGCACCTGTGCTGTAGATGCCAAGTCAGCTAGAAGAGTCTCTGTCGCACCTGCGTTGTAGATGCCAAGTCAGCTAGAAGAGTCTCTGTCGCACCTGCGTTGTAGATGCCAAGTCAGCTAGAAGAGTCTCTGTCGCACCTGTGTTGTAGATGCCAAGTCAGCTAGAAGAGTCTCTGTCGCACCTGTGTTGTAGATGCCAAGTCAGCTAGAAGAGTCTCTGTCGCACCTGTGCTGTAGATGCCAAGTCAGCTAGAAGAGTCTCTGTCGCACCTGTGCTGTAGATGCCAAGTCAGCTAGAAGAGTCTCAGTCACACCCGTGCTGTAGATACCAAGTCAGTTAGATAGGCCACTGTCACGCATGTGCTGTAGAGGCCAAGTCAGTTAGATAAGTCTCAGTCACACCCGTGCTGTAGATACCAAGTCAGTTAGGTGACTCTTTGGTCGCGCCTGTCCATTAGATATCAAGCCAGTTAGGCAATTCTCATACTCTCATCCATCCAACAGATACGAACAGACAGCAACATATGTCCGTTGGAGAGGAGACACATTACTCACCTCGCATGTCAGATAGTCAGAAACATATTAGTTAATTTGAAATTCTCAACAAACATACTTTAGGTTAAACATGTCACAACATGTCACAACATATTGTCACGGCATCCCGCCATCTTTCAGCTAATGATCTCAAATTACACATTATAAATATTAAAACAACGTGAGACTGCACAATGGCACTCGTGCCAATGCTTACAATGGCTGATCCCTCTAGCCTGATTCATGAAACTGATAGCTCCGATCAGTTGACACCATCTCATGATGAGTCTGGTTGAACCGGGTCAATGTGTGAAACCATTCAATATTTTACTGGAAATCCAACATCAAAGTCACGCGATGTCACGTGACCAAGTCTGTAAGAGCGGTTATGTACTGAAACTTAAATTAATGTACTAATACAAATTTTATTAACTTGGAATGGAATTATCAAACAAATTATGTCCCCTGCTCCAGATGTAATAGATGCTTGTTGTTGTTGTTTGTTTTAAGCCTAATGATAATTTCATCAACAAATCTCTTTTTATGTACAAAAAGAAACCACTGCAGTTGACCGCATTGTATTCTCCTGGCCAACTTGCAGGTGATCTGGCTAACGAGGGGAAGAACAACCACCACAGCCACCACTACCACCACCATCACCACCACCACCACCACCATCGTCACCACTCGAGAGATAAAGGTGGGGACAAGCCCATCGCAGAGAAGCAGAACACCACCACAGCGAACCCTATGCCAGCTCAGTAGACCCATGGAGGCGGCCGACCGAGAGGCAAGGATAGATCCGGTGAGGACCATGTGTCACCTTTCATCACTTTGTTTATAGCTAAAGCAGGATGAGGAGATTAAGCGGGGGCGGTGGCCCCCACGGTTGACCGATAGGAGGTTGTCACAGGGAATAAAGTATGAAGGGGAAAAAAAAGCATAGATTGGAAAATCTATCCTAAATTTGTTTCAGACTCATATTTTTAACTTTAGTCGAATAATTATGCATCAAACATTAGCGTCATGTGTTCAGTCCTTCTGTGTGTTTTGGTATGACGATCCTCACATTATTGTCGTGGCCAACGTAAATGGACAGATCTAGGACTTTTCATCGGAACTTGGAGGGGGGTTGCCATATTTTAATAAAATGTTTATCAAGCTGGCTATATTTACCATTACTTCCAGTGGCTTAGGATGGGAAAGGGGGGGGGGGGGACTTTCAGCCCCGTGGGGCTTTTTTTTCTCTATTTGATGGGTAGCATTTTTGGCCATCTACAAAGTTCTTGTACTTTTTTGAGAAAGTAGGGCAGTAAAATCAAGGCCAGCTCCTTGCGACACTACTCACCCGACTACGTCCCTTGGACCCGAGAATGCCTAGGTATGGCCTAGATCAGCTTTTCCCAAACTTTAATTTTGGCGGACAAATCTCTCATTGCAGCAGTGATCCTGATAATCGTTTGACAATTTTCACTGTGAATGATAATTTTCAAAAGCTTTTACAAATACATGTAAAGTTTTACAATATGAAAATAATGTTGCTAAAATATTAATCCAATTCTAGGAGAGACTTTTTTTGCGGGCCTCATTAATTGTTTAAGCGGGCCGTATTTCGCCCTCGGACCACATTTAGTTTCTACACCGGATTAAACATTTCACTTTGAAAAATGGGATTTTAGTTTTAGTGGTGCAGCTAGGGTTAGTGCCACCCCCCCTCCCCTCCAAACACATTTTTTTTCCACGAAAAAAACATCTTTTATGTAAAGAAAAAGGTGCCGCCTCTTCGCACCCCTTTCCTCTGCTACTGGGAGATTTAGCTATGGTTTGTAATCATGATGCATGAAAAATTTTGAAGAGAGTAATCTCCCTTGCAATCATGTGACTTCATACTTTCAACTTACGGCCAGTGAGTTAGGGCTGAGCTGTCAAGGGTTACACAAAAAAAATGACTTTATGCTTTCAACTTACAGCCAGTGATTTAGGGTTGGAATGTGTCAATGCTTGCAAAAATATGAATTTATATTTTCAATTTACAGCCAGTGAGTTGGGGTTGAGATTTGTCCATGTGCACATGAGAATCGTGAAATAAGCGATAGAAACTTGACTCGCACATGTAACTCCCCCCCCCCCCCCCCCCCCCTCTTTTTTTTTCCTTGACATATACTGTGTGGACCGGCAACGTAAAGCTAAGGCCGGCCCACAGACCACCGTTTGAGACTGGGATAACATGGCCAGTCACGCAAAGAGCTGTTCAGTGTTAAGAACAGGCGGTTTGAAATAATTATTCCCCATCAGGACTTGTTTTCCCCAATGGTATATTGCAGCGAAACAAAATGGCTTTGGCAAATATGAAACGTTGCACTTTCCGGATGACGGACAGATATGAGAACCACTGTTAAAATTAATTCTTCATAATCCAGATGTATAACAAGACAAGAATTGTTGCTTTATTAAAAGACTTTTTTTTTTTTTTTTGTAATAGCCAAATCTTCACTTGGAGAATACCAGGACCACTGGGAAGCCATGGTCATTACGATACTTCTTCATAATCCAGATGTATAACAAGACAAGAATTGTTGCTTTATTAAAAGACTTTTTTTTTTTGTAATAGCCAAATCTTCACTTGGAGAATACCAGGACCACTGGGAAGCCATGGTCATTACGATACTTACAGGAAGAAAGTTCTAGTCATTCAGACAAAGACAATGTCTTTTTATAATTATTATTTAATACAGGGGGACACGCCAACCCAGTCTCACCTCCAAGAACTTGGCATTTGAAACGACCCATGCAAATGACCGAATTCTGAACTAAATAAAGTTTTAGAGCTGTTACGGCCTTCACCACTTCCAACTTAACTTTACTAATTTTTTTTAATAAGCTCCCCTTCCCCCCCCCCAACTCCCCCCAAAAAGTATGTAAAAATCTACTCTTATTTTTACATTGAATGTCATATCACCGACACGATAATAAAACGCCATCTATAGGTCCCAATTAAGACTCTTTTGATTCGAAAGCTAAAATAAGTCATAGCTTTTTTTACTTAACTGCTCGTAAGACTTCGGGTGATGTTTGTTTGTTTTTGTTTTAATTGTTTTTTTACATTAGTTTTTAAAGACTGGTTTATTTACAGACTGGTTTTTTAAATTAAAGACTGGTTTATTTAAAGACTGGTTTATTTACAGACTGGTTTATTTTAAGACTGGTTTATTTAAAGACCTATTTAAATATTGTCTCCACGTCTCTCACCAGATAAAGAGAGCTTTGCCTGGAAATAACAAAGAGATGTGTGTACCGACCTACCAAGGCATCCTGTGTCTTTATCATCTTAGACATACTTGTGAAACAAAAATTGGGATAACATTTTAGCTTTTTGAGTTTCAAAGGCGTATGTATTTCCGTTTTGTAATTTGAAACTCTTGAGGGAAAAATCATAATTAAATTAAAATTCCTCTAGACACTAAAATTATACAGGAGAAGAAAAAAAAAAAAAGAACGAAATTAAAGCTGCTACTGAAGAAGATGTGATGTAGAGACATGAAGTAACAATTTTTTTCCTAAGCTAAGCCATTTTCTCTTTTCTTAGCTCCTAACTATATAATGATGCCTCTCCAAGTACGCTAGCTTAGCCTTGTTTAGTCATGCCCGGATTTTTTCCCACTTTTAAATAAATCCACTACCAGCAAATGAACGTTGAATTTATTTATTTTTAGATTCCTTTATTTACGATGCGCAATGTTGATGTTATGATCACACCATATGATGTACATATAGTTTGACCTGTGACCTGTGAATGTTTGATAGTGGACTCCAGTTATTTTATTATTCAGTAATTAAAAATATGTTGGATTTGAATGAAATCTCTGGCCTTGTCCCTAAATCTTGTGTATAGAAAGCGTACTCGGTGCGATAAGGGGAGCTAACTCATCATTAAACATTAGCTTTGCTTACATCAGTTGCCGTTCTCTGATTCAGTTTGTTTTCATAATACTTTTTTCTCTCTATATATATATACTTTTTTTTTTAAAAACCCAGATCAACTTTAAGAGATAAACAAATATATAATTTAATAATAAAAAGCATTGATACTAAAGAAATGTGTTCCCCCATCCTTCACATGTCTTACAGTGAGAAGAAATTAAAAATAAAAAAACAAGGAACTACAATAATTTGAAAAAAGTCTTTACATTATGCCACAAATGTGACAAATGAGAATAACTAAAGAAATTATTTAGCCTCACTAATGATGTTTTCAAATGCTCTGGTAAATAAAACATTCAAACAAACAAAAATCATTTAACAGTAAAGGGGTTTTATTTAATTGCATTGACAAGTGAATTGATATTATATTTAAATGGATAAATTTTCAATGTAATTTTGTTTATACTAGAAGAATCATATAAATTTAAACTAAACATTAGTCCAAATTGAATTATATGTATTTCAAAGTTCAAGCAAAGCTTCTGGCTTGGTTACAAGAAGACAAAGATTTTTTTTGGATACTTTTTTTTCCATTTTGCAACTTGTACTCCACACCCACTAAAAATCTGAGCTTGTACCATTTCCCCAGTTTGAAACAATCAATATTGGAAATCTATGCAATAGCTTTTCACACTCAAATAGCGATCTCAATCAGTAATCCAAAGCTAAATTTTATAGGGCGTATTGTTTTGAGAACTTGCACAATTATTTAATTCTTAAATCTTTATTTAAAATGTATACAACTATAATAAATAAGTTAGCATGATCAAGAAACGTATCAGATACCTGAAAATACACAAACATCCCCCTTTTTAAACATGATGTGCTGAGACATTTTCCTTACAACTTTAGTTACAACACAATAGAATGTTATTGTTCTTAAATGTCGAAAGGGGGAAAAAATGAATTTACTGGGAGATATTAACTTAACTGCTGCCATAATGCATCCTAAAGAAATTTTGGACATGACCATTTCAGTCTAATTGAACAGATACAACATCCATTCAAACTATTATCTTGTTAAATATGAATGAAAAGGATAACAGTAACAGATTCAACATCCATTCAAACTATTACCTTGTTAAATATGAATGAAAAGGATAACAGTATTATTTTTTAACATTTATTTTCCACCAAATGTTAGCGGCCAGAATGTATATATATATATACTTGTTTATTATTGTTTTTATTATTTGTTCTGTACAAAATATTGAAAAAGTATATCTTGAGGCACAAGGTCAAACTGGCATAAAATGAACCTTCTCTCACCTAATTCTGCCAGGTCACTAATACTGATATAGGTTAATTTATTTTATTTCTTTACATTGGGTAAACATTTTCATACCTTTAAATAAAAGAAATACAAACAATAATTTTATCAATACAATTTTTTAATTCGTAGTATCAATTAACACAATGATAAATCAAAATATTTTAAACATGACATGCAACCATACTGACGAGCAATGTTGAAAAAAAAAACATTATGCACACATAAGATGTTCAGAAAATAATACTTAAAATATTTGTTTCAAATATGTTGAAACTCTTTTATGGAGCTGAGTTTTGATAGCTGAGTTGGTAGTCTACAAACTGCTAAACATCATCAAAAAGAAGATATTGATTGAAAAGCCACAATATTAATTTTTTTTTTTTTTTGGCTTCCAAATCAAAATATAATAGCTTTTCAGAAAATGTCAATTGCAAACTCACCAAATTTTGAAAGATGTGAAGACACTTGAAAACTAAGCTTTAAACCAAAGTATAGCTACGTAACACGTCACAAACTATGTATGAAAGTAGTTCAGCTATGTAGCATTTCATGAACTAGAGATCAAAGTATTTGAAACATACCCAAACCTAACAGAAAATATATCTTAACTATACATGACCTACAAAAGTTTGCATAAAGTACATTTGACAGTTTTTGTAGGTGGGGTTGTTGTTTTTTGTTGTTGATATTATTCATTATGGTTAATCCATTATTTTTACCAAGGATAACATTGATAGAAGTGACAGCCAAGCCAAGAATGAATCAACTTAAAAGTCCATCATTGAAGCTAAATTTGGAAGATTTCCTGCCTCTTTGTGTTTAACTTTGTTTGTCTGCAAAAAAGACAAACCATTAAAATTAAAGTAAAAGGTTTTCGTGATCCTCATTGTCATAAGTGTTCACTGTGTTTGAATGATTAAGTGAACTACCATTTTAACCTATTGCAAGAAATATTACATGAAAATTCAAATAAGATGTAATTTTTTTACTAAAAAATGAAAAAAAAATCTCTCCTGATCCAATAAATAGACCAGTTACTAAAGTGAAATGGTACATGAAATAAAACTGTTCCTCTGTTTCAAAGTTACAAATTCGGAATAGCCTTGGATTTATTATATATTGTTTACTAATTAATTATACGTTTCATAGATTCATTCGAGTTACAGTGTTTTTTAATATGTGCATACTATTATTGGCTAAGACAAGAATAAATATCTTGGCATGTAACTATTAAATAAAACAGTAATAACATAATGAAATAAAAAAAACTTTTAATGAGAATGATTAAATTTAATGTCAGTGTAATTTCTTAAATACTGGTGCTTGAAAAGCTTCTTTAACCCTTAAAAAACACATTTTTTTTTGCATTTGTTATCTCTTTCTGATCATGTGCACCAAAATATATGATTTACCTTAGTGAACAATTGACGAGGTCCTAGGGATGCCATGCTTCTTTGTACCTCTGCTATTCTCATGATGATATTTCTTCTCTTCAATGTCTCTGGGGTCACGACCTTAAGAAAAAACAAAATATAATTCTAGATTTTCCTCACACTTAACTATTTATATAATATTTTAAAACATTAAGCAAAAACTGTCTTAAAATTGTCAATTTTCTAGAAAATTAAAATAACATTTTTTAAAATAACATTCTGAGACCGTGTTTAGCTTTCTTTCACTTTCAGTATATAATATATCTAATAGCATGCAGTGCTTTTCCAGGTAATCAAAAATTTTGGAGCACATGCCTCCACCATCCCCTTAGTCCCTCTTGTCAGATAATTAATTATATAACTCTCTCTCTCTCTCTCTCTCTCTCTCTATACATATATATATATGTAAGAAGTATTGATGCTCACGCGATAGACTGGAAGTGCCCTAAACACAGCCCCTGATTCCTTATCTGCTGTTATGGATGCATCCAAATGACTGTTATAAGCCTGAAATCATAGATAATATTATGTCTCTGAGTGCTGAGTCTGTTAGCGTTATAAAACTAACTTGTCATTTTGAATCAAACTGCTTGCTAGCAAGCAACATTAGTTTTCATACAGTTTGTAAAATTTCTCCAGGTTAGAACTAAGTGTTAATTTCTACCTTTGGTTTGATGAGAGCACCAAAAAACTTTTTCTCTCCATCTTGAGTCATGGCACTGAGACCCCCATCTTTGTCTCCTGACTTCCCCAGTGGCACCCATCTTTATTGTCAAAGTTCATACAAAATAAATTGAATTATCTTAAAATATAAACCAGAGTATTTCTTTTTGCAATTGCTCAACCCACTCAAATGGCAATAGAGTTTACATCAGCACAATCAAAGGTTATATAAGGGCAATAGCTCTTGCTTTAATAAACACATTTATTGGAAAAACTTATTACACAACTTTTAATGTTGATAATTACTTAATTTTGGGTTGAAATATTTGTTATGATTTACCTTTCTGGGGAAAATATGAGAGGAAATTCAAATTTCTGGATTATTTTAGTTTTTTGAGGTGGAGTTTTCTTTTCTACTGCTTCAATTGGGCCCTACAATGTTAAAAGAATAATTTTCATCAACACATTAACTTTTAAATGATAGTGAATAATTTACATTTCCTCAATTTTTAAAAAGTATACATATTTGATTAAGGAACAAATTTTAAAATTTGTTTCAACACCTTTTAAATGGTAATTTTAGAATTTTTTGAGACTGAGCCTAATAGTAATTGAGATTAGAAATTGCAAGATAGAAATAAAAAATACATGAAATAGACCTCGGTGATATCAAAGGGCAAGAGAAAGTTTTCCTTATCATCATCAGTGGGAAAACCTAAAGGTTTTTGCTGACCAAAGTAACCAATGAAAGTTCCATCTTTTTCCCACCAAACTCTGAAATAAAACACAAAGATAATAACGTTTTTTTGTTTTTTGGAGGGATGGGGGTTATAAAAAATTATGCAAAGCAGAAAATTTTAAGTCAAAAATGCAAAGAAGGAACAATGCTGTAAGTTGGTAATAGTGGAAGATTTTCATTAGCTAGAACTTATGTTGCCAAAATTATTAATTTTGATTATTTTTTAACTATTTCGTTTTCAAAATTTTTTTTATTTAATACCTCTGAACAATATTAATCCATTTTAATGGCGCTTTTTTTATTTTTAATCACTTTCACTTAATGATATTAATAACAGTCAAAGTTTCACAGGCAAATAAAACTTCTACACCTACATGATTCAAAGCACATTATGAAGTAGTTCATTACACAATATCATCTTGAAAACTAAAAATCAGTTGCCGAGACCAGGCCTGCACAACTCATAATGTAAGGCGGGCCATAATACTTTATGAAAAACTTGTGTGGGCCAAAAGATAATGGGAAAGCTATTAAGAAAATAATAATAGTAAATAATATTTCGTTACTTTGCAGGCTGCAAAGTGGGTGCTGGCACGTGGGCCGTATGTTGTGCGGGCCTGGCCTGGACAAAAACACAATGGTCTCAACCAAAATTTTGTTAAGAAATGTCCAAATTAATTTAATCTAGTTTTTCTTTCTTGTTAAGGCATCAAATTCTGCATTCATTAATAAAGCTCCTTTTTTGCAGACATTTTTTGCTATTAAATTTATTGTATTGTAATCCTTGACAAAACTCATTCATTTTTTATGTGTAAATGCAGATGCACAAATTAACAATGGTAAGGCTCTGTTTGTTCAGAATGGACTTAGAAAATTCATAATATAAAGCTGTTTATTGAGTGTATTTTTTTTTTCACTAGTGAAATAATTTAATGTGTACGTCTCGTGTTCAATTTGTTTTATTTATGTGCTGAACATGTACTATACAATCAAAAAGCATTTCCATTTGTTAGGATCAATAAAAGAACCTTATCTTATCTTATTTGTGTTTGGTGACAAAAAAATATTTTAATGTCAACTTGCCTGATTGAACCATCAGAAGATGTAGACATAATTTTATTGGTACCATCTTCTGTGACCATGGAAACAATGGTTGCGGTATGGGCTCTCCAGCAGAGTTTCTGTTTGACCCTTTTCTGGAACAAGTAAGATTTGCAGTTTCTAAAATCAAGAGCTTTGATTATATTGGGGGTAATGTTTATATTTCCTTCAAAATAATATCATAATATTATAATATTAAGTAAATTGACTAAGAATTATTTTGAAAGTGCATTCATGGCTCGCATCACAATTTATTTAAATTCTTTTCTCAGAGTACATCTGCTAATGAATGCTATCTGCCCATTTTAATAAATATTATTTTCAAAATGGATGTTTATTTTTTTTTTTTTTAATTAAAACATCTTACTTCCACACAGAATACAACTTTTCTTTGAATATATAGGGCCTATATTTACTGTTGATCTTCCAATATTGTTTTATTTTCTTGCTGCCTTGGAGAAATTTTTAATAAATATATACATATATTTATTTATTTTTTTAAATTGGGATATGTTAGTGTTGGGAATAGGCACTTTTTTTTTTTACATTTTTTTATTTAGTTTTAGCAGTTTTTCTAGAGAGTCTGTACAATAATGGTATTAATCTTCATTTAAAAATAACAACAAAGACCGTTATATTTACTCTTCACCAGTTGTGTTTAATAAAGAAAATCATGATACATGTAATATCAATTGAAAAGTTTTGTTTGTTTCAATATTAAAATGACCTTTGCACTTACTGAATCTGGCTTTTTGTGGTCTTGTAGTAATCTTTTAGTATCAAAAACAGTAAGATAGCCTTCTATTTAGGTGAAAGAATGGAAATAAAAATATAATAAAAACCAAATTAAATTTTGAAGAATAATATCTCTTTTTAGAGCATTACAGTGTTTAACAAGAAAGTTTGTAAGCTGTGAAGAACTGGTTTGAATTTTTTAAAAATTGGAAGATTAGCACATTGGATAAGAAATCTTATTTGTTAAAATTGATTGACTGATTTTTTTTTTTATTAAGGAAGAACAAAATTAACATAACCCTATGCATCATTGTGAAAAAATAATTCTATGAAAGTATGGATTGCATGAATATACATGTGGTGATTGCAAGCCCAAATAGCTACTGGATCTGAATGATGTTGATGATGCCATGTGAGGAATAGTAAGAACTAAAAGCAAAAGCCACATCTCACTTGTGTCTCCAGCAACTAAAGTTCGTGTGTGTTCATTGTAACACAAAGCGGTGAGGGGAGATCCTGACTTTGGTGTTAATGTGGAGATCTGGCACAGCAGCTCTCCCTAAGATTTACAGATAAAAAGTTGTCAATGCTATAATGTATTTCATTAATGTATTGATACTGAAATAAAAAGTACATGTTTATATCGAATTGTAGCATGTTGTTGTAGCTTTTTTTAGGCTCATAACCATTGTGGAAATAATCAATCGATAGATTTTAATTGGACCAATATTTAAAATGAGGCCAGTTAATGTTGGTTCTTGTTTTGTAAAGTTATGGAAATAGTTTTAATTTGATTTGTGTGTTTTGGTTTTTTGGGGAGTTGCTTAATAATTTTTTTTAGTTTTTTTTTTTGGTTGTGCAAGTGTAATTGTTCTATTTAAACTAATTTTAAAAATCATAACATTCATGCATAATGATCAATAAGATAAAGAACTAGTTTTTAGAAGATTTTAACAATTTGCATTATGTCAATGATATAGCTAAAAAAAATGTATGCACTGTGACAAGATTAATTTGTGCACCCCTCCTCAACTCTGAAATCCATTATTACCATCAAAACAAATTTTTGGCACCCCCCCCCCGGCCACTTGTATGGCTCATGGGGAAATTGGTCCTCCCTCTGCGCCCCACCTTAGCTATACTTCTGCTATCTGTGCGGCCAAAGATTTGACAGCCTGCTGGTTGGGGCTTTTAAGAATCCTCATGCAGAGTTTAGACCGATTACAAATGTTACACTCACTGTAAGATTCCAGAATCTGATGTAACCATCGTTGTGGGCTGAGGCAAGAACAATTTCATAACTGAGCCCTGGGGATTTTGAATAAGAATCAAGCGTAGACCTTGTTTCTATGAATGATTTTGATGATTTTTTCCTAGTAGAACTTCCCAAACATTTGTATTCAGATCCCTTTGATTCTGGAATAAATGGTTATAAAAAAGACATTTTTGGCAAAATATTAAATTGCTTGCATTAAATTTGATCAAGACAATTTCTTCTTTGAGCTTTCCTTAGAAAGAAAAATGTGTATCACAATTCATTTGGACTGTGACATTTCTTAGAATTTACCATTTAACAATTGCTCACTGTTCTCCATTACTTTTTCCTTTTAATTTATGGCTCCACATAACATGTTAAGTTTTCCCAAGTAAACTTTTTAATGAATATGGAATTATTTGAATACTTTTTAATGTATAAATAACTAGGGCTTAACCGGAGCAGTTTTTTTTACACCAGGTCCGCTTATTTTTAGAAAATACCCAGTGGGTCCAAGTGTTAAAAAGAAATTTTAAGTTCTCATTTTCTATAATATAAGCCGGCCTAGAAACAATAGGGCTACAGACAGTCCTACATCATAACTGTAGGCATTTAAACAATGGGGCTACAGACAGTCCTACACCCTAACTGTAGGCATTTAAACAATAGGGCTACAGACAGTCCCACACCATACCCATGGCTGGTGATTGATTAATATAACAGTCTCCTCCCCTCAAAGGAAATAATCAACCTGAGACGTCATGCATGAAAGCTTTTGTGTGTTTTTTTCCTCTCGGTACTATTAATATAAGACATATGGAGTTGGGGGAGGGCCGTTTGTGAAGAGGAAGCAGGACACATCAGAAGCAAAATATATATATGAGATAAACAATAAATTAGAAATATTAAAAATAATATTTTCAAGCACGCCAAATGCTTCAAAATTTTAACCTTTTTCAATTAACACAAACATTGAATTACTTAAAATTACGAAAATGATTATTTTCAAACTGCTTTTCGTCACATTTCCATTCTTTAATGACAACATTTCATTTTCAAATTCCCTATTGCTATGAATGAAACAGATTGTTTCCGTTTGTGTGTGTAAAGAACAATGTTTTGAATGTTGCCATTTGACTTATTTATATCTAATAACTTAGGATTCTAATGAATAGGTCCCACGTTGTCAATTGCATAAGTTACTAATGTTAATTCAGGGTTCTTAGTAAAGAAATTTGTTGCTATTGAAAAATAAAAAAACTGTTTGATTAAATACCCCCAGCTGTGTCCAAATCATCATGTGTAATCATGGTTTCCTTTACATCTGTCATTTCATCGTCTTGTTCACTATTGATGTCCATGCCAGGTTGTAGTGCAGTGTCATTGACATGTTCCACTTGTTCATCCTTTAATTTAGGAATGATTTGTTGTAGCTGAGGAGTGGCACTACCCACCTGGAGTGAAGTGTCAAGTGTACAAACAGAAATGTAACAATTACAATAAAAAATTACAGTTTAAAGTAGCAGTTACAGTTTTAAAAAATAGACCACTGTTACAAAAGTTGGTGACATTTGTTAATATTGATAACCAATGTTTATCCCTCATCAATTCCGAAACCCTTCTTTTTTTTTAATCAATAGAATCACAGGAAATGCTATATATAACAGCATCAAATGAAAAAATTACAAATTTATTCTTTATTGGTTCATTTATTGCACACATCTTTTGTTTAATAATGAAGGTTTCAATTTTCTTATTGGTGAAAATAACAACACTAAACGCTTTCCAACAACCCCAGAAAAATAAGCACTTTTTTAAATTTATTTTTTCTAACCTCTTTTGTGTATTTGCAATATTTGGACAGTGTAGAAACAACTCATTAAATTGCAAACTATTTAACTGTGGAATAGGTACCTGTGACATCTCCAATGAGACATTGTCCACTACCCCAGACCGTCTGGATCTGTGCTTTGTAAGTGATGCTGACAGAGCATCAGCCGTTTGTTGAATGGTACTTTGTCTGTGACTGGAATACCGCAGTATATTATTTTTAAAACAGATACTGAAGCTATTTTTCCAGGATTTTATTTTATATTATAAATTATAAAGGGGCAAATATCTTTTAAAATTAGTACTGGTAATTATGTTTACATTAAATGTGTTGTTTATAATATAACTGTTCTATTAAAAAATATGACTCTTTCCTTATGATGAAATTTTAGTTTTAAGACATTGCACTAATCAATTTAAGCTTAAGACAATATAGTCTAACATTAAAATTTAGCAGTTTAGTAGATAATACATAGGTTATTTAAGTGTTATTGATTTCAGTAGGGCACAAGCATTTTCTCCATGATGCCCATTTTAAAATTTGTAAGGTCTCTTGGGCAATTCGTGTGCAAAAAAAGCAAAATTTGCTTCAGGATTAACTTTATGTCAGTTACATCAAGAAAAAGTACACTTTTATTGTAAGCACATGCTTCACTGTTCAATTTTAAAACACACAAATTGTGCATTTACTTTTAGACTACATTTAAAAATAAAACATGTTTCAAATTGTGTGGCCACAAAAATTGACAAATGCCACATGCAGTTAACGGGTAGCTAGTGAGTTGTAGTTTTCACACCCCTGCAGAAAGGGGGCATTTCAAGCAACTTAGAGGTTCAGTGATTCATTTTTTAAAAGCACTAACTAATTTTCTATTTTGAAATCTCCCCCACCCCAAAAAAAAATTAACAAATTTCAACCACTTAACTCTGACAAACGCAGACTAAAGTTATTCATTGATTATGAATGAGCCCACAGATTGTATTCTCACAAATTAGTTTATGTGTAAGAATTATAACTTAAATTTAAAAAAAGCAATGACTTTAACTTCTTTTTTTAAATTAACCATTTAAATAATTACTTGCGTATTCTGTATTTCATAACAACAATTTGGTTGACTTTATGCTCACTTCTGCTGTTACCAAAAGATAGTTCCTGCTTGATGCCATTTGGCAAGGTAAGTCTTGAAATAAATATGTAGAGATTTGACTGACATTTTAAAAAAAAAAACAGTTTTATGCAGGTTTACTGTTTTCTTAACTACTCAGTTCATGTCATTGTCTTCTTGACTCATCGATGCATTTCACTGACCCTATCTTCGTAACTCATTGATGCATTTCACTGACCCTGTCTTCTTAACTCATCGATGCATGTCACTGACCTGTCTCCGTTACTGATCATTTTTTTAATGTCACATTATGACTGCTTCAAGTTATTCATATTGTGTAATAATTTTTGTTAATTTAACTGCTTACACACTTTTAAATATTTTCAATGCTACTTCCAATTTCATAGCACTAATTCTGTTTGTTCATGATTCCAACATCTATAATCTTATTATGTCTAGCTATCAATCATTCACCATATTCATATTAAATAGTACACTGACCAAAGGAATCATTGGGACCAATATTTATTTCAATAAAGATGTAAACAGAGTTCTGATCAAAGAGAGCATTTTTAACATTTGTATTTTTTTTTAAATATTCAATTACCAGGAAAAACCATGTACCAAATATGGGAAAATATTATCACTTAGAATGTATGATGTGGAAGGGGGGCACACTTTTTTTAAAATTCTTGCTTGACTTTCATGAAAAAAGCTTTTAACAAATACTTACAAATTTTGTATAGCCATTCGTTCTGTATCCCAGACAATAATGTCCCCATTATAACAACCTGATGCCACTAGGTTAGAGTATATGAGTGTTATGCAGGTTACCTCATGGTCACAAGCAGATGATGCCTGGAAAAACAATGCTTAAAATATATTGTCTAAGTTCATTTGTATTTTTTGTTTTGACGGTCCTTTTAAATTGTTTATGATTTCTTCTTATAGATGTTTACAGTGGCTCCTTTTCACACTGGTTATGAGCTTATTGGCTTGCCTGCCCCTGATTATGACCTCGCTGGCTTACCTCCTCATGGTTATGAGCTTATTGGCTTGCCTGCCCCTGATTATGACCTCGCTGGCTTACCTCCTCATGGTTATTTTTTATTTTAATCCAGAAGTAAATCTGATTGACTGACTGTCTTTGTTCCAAACTTTCAGTTGTTTAACTTGAGTTACAATAAATCACTGTTTTACTATAATTTCTACATTAATTTTTTTCTGAAATATTAACATTTTACACAAATTTTATTTTATTCCTATTTCTGATATTCATAATCCTTTTTAAACATACAGACATACAGGGCTTTATCAAGAGGAGACGGCCAACAAGGAGTTTCTTTGCTGCTAATGGCAACACTGCCTTTGAAAAGTGGTGGATATTATAATGAAACCGCTAAAGCCTGGGCAATTTAAGCACACTTCCCAACATGCCCTATGACTAATCTTGCCCTGAAAATGTCACGCACACATTAACAGTTTAGTTGAAAAAAATCTCAGATACCTGGTTCTTTTTTATGTCTGGCAAAAGACCAGTCCGAAGAAATGAACCTTTTTTACTTGATATGCCATGACTGAAATCTGAAAGATCTAGAACAGGTTTTGGAGTTGTACTTCCATCCTCTAAAGATTTGCTTACAGCACTTAAAGCTGTGGGCTCAAACTGAAAAGATGGACTTGCTTGGAGGAGATCATCTGTAGTAACCTTGTCAACATATCCTATGTCTTTGGGGAGAGTGAACAAGTCTGTCAGCTCTTGAACAAGTACCAGCCTGTTACTGTCATGAGCGTCCTGTGTATAGATTCAAATTAATTGTACAGTAATAAATTCCCTGGCCACAGAAAAAAATTTCACTTGGCCTAAACTGAAGGTCACAATTATCTCAAATTGCATTTTTTCCTAAACTAGATAAGCGTGTTAAACTATAACACTTTAACACAGTGGTGTAGTGTGACATTGTGCTGCCTGAGGAAACTGTTGAATTCCCACCACCCCCTTTTTATTTTGAAAACACTACACATAAATATATATAGTGCTTCTTTGCACATTGAAACCTGGAAAAAATGAACCTTGAAATAGCACTGTCCCTGTCATCTGCACTAAATTGTACTGGAAGGGAAATTGTGGGGAGGGGAGAAGAAGAAGCTAAAGTGGGGGTAGTGGACTTGGGGGGTAGTGGGCTTGGGTGGGTGGGGCTCATTTAGCCCAACAATTTTTTGTTCAATTCAAAATATAGGGATTCCTTTTTGCGTATACCTGAATTTAGTATTGGGCTAATGTTCACAGAGAAATGCTATTAAGTTTATTATTTTTCATTGGTACTAAATAGTAATATTGTTTAATAAAAACATTATAACTCTATTAAACTAATTAATTTCTTTAAAGTTCTTCATTAGTACATTTTATTTTTAAGAAGCTGATGAGCTTACTGTCACAAAAACGTATTAAATATATATAAGTCTATTACTGCCTGATGCATTAAGTGAGTTGTGGCGCCAAGTTATATTTAAAAGCATTAGGGCCAAATAGCTAAAAAAGCATTTTGTCAATTCTTTTTTTTTTTCTTAACAATCATTGCAAGCATTATAGTGGTATTTGGTTCAATTCTTTATTTTGCCTTCTTTATTACTGTCATCATAATACATGATGATCCCTTTAGCCCCAGCTGGGGCACACTGCAATCACTATCTAAGGACAAAGACTAGACAGCTAGTAAATATGCTTTAATCCCACCAAGTATCTAATAGAGTGCAAACTCATAAAAATGTTTAAAGTCATTATAGCAATGGCGGATTTACAATCGGATCAAATGAAATCATATCTTTCGGGTAACAGATCACATCACAAGTGCTGGCACAAAATCAAAGCATTGACATTATAATTAAAATATTTCTGATTTATTGAACTTAGAATAATAATACTAATGTTCTTACAATTATATGTGTAAAATCACAAAGGTTGGAGTGAAAGTAAATTTTATTAAATGGTGCTTTTCCTAGATCCTAACTTCCACATGCTGAGGATTTTATAAGCATACTTTTTTGTTGTTTTATTGTAGGCCTATATTGTTCCAGCTGCATTGAGCTTGTTATTTCAAGTCATACTCCTTTATCAAAAGGACAAAAAATATCTCAAATTTCCCCCTTTAATGACCTCCCCTAGTTGACTGCTTGTTGGTTTTTTTTTCTACTTCCCTCCTTTTTTTCTACCTAATATTTCAATTTAACTAGATCAGACTAAATACGCTGTATAGAATTATGCTTTGCGTCTTTTGTGCCGAAAATGCCGCCCACCTCTACATAAAGTACAAAGAGCCGCCAGTGGAAGAACGCCTCTTCCTCTGTCACTTCTTTAACATATATTTTTACCTTTATCTTTTAAAAGTAAAACCAACAACAATATATCTTCAATAAAAATAAAATAGTTTTCTAAGCATATTTATATTTTGGCTGATGGTTCAGGCTCTACTTACCAAATAGATCTGAATCTTCTTCTTTGTATTTGCAATGATAATATTATCATTACGATTCCTGGTGCACACTAGAGATGTTATGCTGCGGTCATTGTTTACAGAAGAAGTTGTGGTCATTTTGGCTTTAACCATCTGGCCTGACCCAAAGTCCCATATTTTCAAGGACCCTAAAAATCAGATTGCTTATATATTTAGATGTAACAAATCATATTTTCATTAAAGGGTTATGCATCCTGAGTCTTTTTTTTTTAGTGTTTTTTATATAAACAATTAAAATAAATTATACACTCTGCAAAGAGACATTAAAAATTTAATACAAATAAAACTATCTTAGATTGAAATCTCTAATATTTTACAATGTTTTCTATCTGCTACCCACATGTGACAAAATTAATCTCCAAATCTAAGCACAGTTTTATTGAAATCAGTTTTATAACATCATCCACACACAACTTTACAAACTTCTAACACCACATGTAACATACCAGCAACAATACCCAATTATATCCACACAATATACACCCAATAACACAAACACACCACATTATATAACTTACCATCAAAAGCCCCTGTTATTAGTCTATAATTAGTCACATCCAATGTCAAGGCAGTAACTTCTGTAGATGATCCATGAGGGTCTTCTATACAATACACCAACTTGCCATTTTCCACCTCCCAAACCTTCAGAAATTGATTTTAAAATTAAAATAAATTTATTAATTTTTTGCCACATCAATCTTGAGTAAATAATTTGTTTTCTCAATATTTCTAAAAGGTAAAAACTTTATTTGTTTCTTTTTTAAAAATCTAGACAAAAAAAATCTAACTGTTATGTAAAAATACAAAGTAAAAGTTTTTTTCTTTTTATCAGAACTGCGGCAATTAAGTTTAAACAGATTCAAATTAAACATAAATATATGAAATTAATAAATTTAAATATACTATTCATATTTCACAAGTCAAAGTCTTTTTCTTACCTTTAGGACTGGCTCAGTGCAAACTGATACAAGTTGGTTAAATTCTTTGTTGAGCAACATCTTTGGTTCAGAAAAAAAATTGAGAGTTCATTTAATTTATTTAAATAATGCTCTTTAAATAAATATCATACAGACAAAATAAAAAATAAAAATGAGACAAGATAACAAAACTATCATGCTTAATCTTCAGCCAAAAAGAATTAATATATATTTTCAGATCATTGAATGGTAGAGGGGAATGGACATGGCTTCAGGTAACTAGACTTTACTCACTAGTATAATGGGGCGGTCATGTGTCAGTGGTACTGGTGCTGGTTCTTTTATTGTCCGAGACAAAGGCCAACTGTCTACTACACTGGAGCCTAATAATAAAATAATTTCTGTGAGAAAAGCCTTAAAAAACTAGTTATTTATGTTTTTATCCCTATATAAAATCAACTTTTGTCTAAACTCTTATAAACATTCACATCTGAATCAAAAATTTTATACTCTACAAACCTGACAACAGTCGTCCATTTCTGTCATCGAATGTAATGGAATAAATTCTTTTGTCCCCTGGTCTATCTTCATTGTCAGTAAAAACCTTTTTAAAAAAAACATCAAATTAAATTGGAGTAAATTGCGTTTACATGGATTTTTTTTTAAAGTAATGTTAAAAGTAATATGAGGTTAGGCACTAGATAACAGGCCTATTTTTATAAAAGCAAAAAATGTAAGTAAAAACTGAAAAATATTAACTACTTAGTTTAGTTTAAACATTTCTTACATAAAATAAATAAATATTTAAACTAAATAATGGTGAATAACCACCTGAATGGACCCCCTCCTCTCAGAAATCCCTTGTCATGTCTTAGGTAAAGAAAGTAGCCTACATCTAAGCATAACGATTATAGAAATCCAGCAATCAAATTGACACCTCAACTAACCAACCTGCAAACATGCGAGGGTGTGAATATCCCAAATTCTAAAAACTCTGGCAGTAGACAAACTGATGATGTGTTGATCTGTCTCATTAGCAACAATGTCAACAATGGTGAAGAGGTGGCCCGTCAGTTTTCCTAGAATGGATATCATTTAAATGTGTAAGAGATAATGAGTGTTTGATTCCAACAATTTAAATAGTGAAGGTAACTTAAAAAAACATCATTGCTAGATGTAAGCTCCAAAGCTCTTGCACCAATCACTGTTGACCAAAATAATTAAATTATATTTTTTTCCTGGAGTGCAAAGGGTACTCTCTATCAATAGATAATTTTAGTTAACAATGTGATCAACTAAATAAAGACAAAAATAAATTGTTAACTTTGTTGTCCATAGGTAAACAGATGTGGTCACTCAACAGAGATGTATACAGGTTCTATAAAATAAAATTTAATTCTGTTTCTTTCAACAGTTAATTCAAAAACACTTTGTATAAGAAACAATATGGTTACAACTATATATAGATGTTATGACACATTAATTATAGTATAATCTTGTTACTTCTTGGCTCAACAAATTCTATTTAAATCAAAATTTACATTTAAAATTATTTGTTTTTGCAATTATTTCAAAATAAAAGAAACAAAATATACACACATTGGTGAATGTGAGAGTGAGAATTATGGGTTAACAAATGGATTTTTTTAATAGAGGCCTACCAGATGGCCTAGAGAAAATATGAGGATGCCACAGTCGAATGACTTTATCCACCCCACCAGTTGCTATGATATTGGCACGAACACAGAAATCAAAACAGCTGACCCCTTTATAAACAGCCACACTCCGAGGCTCTCTGGCAAGATAGAAGTAATTGCTGATGTTACCCAGAATTGTTTCTTAAGTAAAAATATAAATTCTTAAGATTGTAAGAAATAAATTTATAACCAAGCAATGACACAAAACATAAATATTCTAAATACATCTATGAGCAATGGCTGTTTGCAATAATATTGGGTTTTTTTTTAAGATGAGTGTTAAAAACTTTAAAAAAACATTTTAAAATTTTACATTTTAAGTTTTCTCAAATGATTCAGAAATGTAGTTTCTTTGGATTGTGGAGTCTAAAAAATGTGCAACGCTACAAGAGAGCTGCAAAGCTTGACAAGCATAAATTATATGATATTTCAACTACAGAGTTTGATATTGTTTATTTTCTAAATACCGGGTATATTATGTATTACGCTAAAAGAATCTGAAACATACACAAAAAGCATAAAAATAATTTTCTATAGGTAGCCAAAGTACATTCTCAACCATGATAAAATAATAAAACAAAGATAAACAAAATAAAATAACATTTCATTTTTTTAAAATGCTATGACTATGATGATACTTACTGATTGAGATAGAATATCCTGTCAACTTTTTCTAAAACAAATGAAGTAGAACTACTGTTGGAACATGATGCAAAACATTTTAGGCTGGGAAAATATTTGACCTAAAGTAAAAAGAATGCATTTTTTTAAAATGATAATATATATTCATGTCTATATTATTTAAAAACCAGGATATAAGCACATCTTTCAAAATGATTTTAGTTTTTAGAAAAATTCTTTCAAAACTTTTTTCATGATCCTTGCTCCATTTCATATGTTCTCGTAAAACAATTCTTACACTTAAATTAAAAATTAATTTTTATAAAATATCCTCAGATGTCTTTTATAACTAATTTAGATCTCCAAATCTCCAATATCACTTCTATGGTCATTAGTGAACAAGAAATAATTCCAATAAAACCCTTTCCAGCTGACAATGCTATTTTTTTATTTTTACCTTTAGAACAGAATCTTTGTGTATCTTCCGCCGTATTATTGGGCTGTGGTGAGCAAACAATTGTGCAATTAATTTTGTAGTTAAATGTAGGTCATGATGACATCCTAATACTAATCTAAACTGCAATTAGTCGATTGAAAGTGGCACTGGGATTGGCGGTGGCTTGCATAGTAAAAAATCCAGATGGTTGGAAATGAAATCAGAAAGTCTTGTGACAGTAGCTATGAGCCCTAATTAATCAAGTCTAACTATTCACTGCTGCTTATTGCCCATCCGTATTTTGAAAATTAGTAGTAGCCTTTTGTCAATAGAATCAGTACACAAATGATATCAACACACAAACAACAGATCATCAACACAGCCATCTATTTGTGTAATTCCTTAAAATGTTCAACATTCATATATTCTTATCAGTCCACACTCACCTTTTAAAAATTGGGATTAACAATATCAATATGAGACCAGTATACTTTAATGAGATATTTGTAATTGTTGCCCTATTTAAACTTTGCCTCCTGAATAATGTTCTAAGGTTTATCTCAATACTGGTAATGATATGGCTTTTTTTTATGGTTTGATTCAAAGGTTATTAAAATTCATTACTGTTAGCTTACATAGGCAAACTTCCTTACTGTGTGAGTTTGTTCGGATCTAGTGTGTGACTCTGAGATGTTTCTGCTCTTCTGTCTCTGGTCACATGTTTGACTGTCAAGTCCTGGGGTAGAAGTGTGAGTAGATTCAAGTAGCCTTGGTCATCGCCATACAAGACGGTGTCTCCATGTTCACCAGGGAGGGTGGGGAGGACGGCAACACATTGAGGAGAGTCTTCAATAGGTTTGATGATGAATAGGCCCTACAAGAAAGTTAGAAAGTAATATTAGGGTTTGTTTTGTGGTGTTCTTTATTGAGAGAGAGAGAAAGAGAGATTCAGTAAAAGAAAACCACAAAACAAAGCCTAATATATTATATATATATATTACATATAGTTTAGTCATAAAGCCTCGAAAGAGTAAAAGGCTCGGAACACAATTCTCAGTTTAGTTGTAAATTTATTTGTAAAGATAAAGGTTAACCTATATTTTTGTCCAAAGTAATAAAATATAGCTGTCAGTTGCTTGGACCAAAATTAAACCATCAGAATACATCACAACCCATAATTAGGGCCTTTAAATAGTACATTTCATAAAATGTGGATGATGGGTGTGTGGGTGGGGGGGGCAGCTTTTTTTTTTTGAAGTTTACACATAAAAAATTATAAAATTATGGTGTGTGAGTATGTATTTGGGGGGGGGTGCACTTTTGATAGATCGTTGTAGGCAGCATTTAATTAATCAGGTCCACCTCTGGATTAAAGGGAAATATTTTTTTTTTATTTAATTATAAATAGTTAATTTTTATATCAAAGATTTCAAAATAAATTACTTCAACAAACCTTAATCAATTTTTAAAAATTCCTATAAGCAAACTAATTCTTTTTAAATTAAAAAGCATGACCACCCATTTATCTTATGGGGATTAAGATGTTACATGAACATGAAATAAATTGAAAAACTTTGCAAGCTTTTCTTTAATATTCATCAGTAAAAGTTATCTTATAACATGTCTTTCTCCAAGATCTGATACAGAGCCTGAAATTAGTTTGATGATTCCGTGAAGTCTTTATACTTCTTTTTATCATGTGGTTAACTTGGACCGGCTTACCTGTGCATTTCCTTTAGCTCTATTGTCCCAGAGAGCTATGCTCCTCTCTGTGGTACATATCACCCTTCTCAGTCCAGGCAGGTAATCGCAGCAGGTAGTCCAGGCAGGTTCCTATATAATGTTCAATCTGTTATCCATAACATGTTGGCTTATATTTTTTTATGTTTTATTTTTTTTTATAAAAGTTTATCAGTAGAATAGTGGATTGTCACATTTCATCTTTTACTTAACATTATTTAAGAAATGTTTATATATTCTTTTTTATCTTTTTTCATCAATTTTTATCATTCTGAGTTCATGGATAAAACTGCAAAGTCTAATAAAGGTTCTTTGTTTACAAGAAGAAAAAAAGGGAGGGGTGGGGACAAAGGGGGTAAAACATTTTTAGTTTTTAGTGTTGCTCTGAAAATTTTATGAAGATAAAGTTTGCTAAGCTAAAATCCCATTGCCGCCTATTAAGTTCTTTGCTTTCTTTTCCTACACTGTTTGGTATGAAACTTGGAGATCTCTTAAGTGGGGAGGTACACCCTGAACACAGGTCGACTACTAAAAAATTCACACAAAAAAAACTATTTAAGTTACAAGTGTTAAATTTTCACTGAAGCTAGAGGAATGATCATTCTACCATAATAAAACATAAAATAACCATTAGTAGTGCAACATATTAGTTTGCTATCATTGAAAAAAAAAAAGAAGAAAAATGGGATTCTGGAAACTGGCATGTCAGACAAAAAAAATTAGTTAGAATGTTTTAAGCTCAAATTTATTACAATTTTTTAACCATACAGAAATATGGATTAGCTTGGGCGACAACTAGGAAAAATGTAATTTATTGAATACTTTTTGTATCACAGCATCCCAAAGTATCTTAATTTTGACATTTTAAAATCAAACTTTGATGGATTGTAAAATGTGTACTTATTAATATATTACAATATCCTTAGTTGCTGACATAGACAATATAATATAGCACCTTGAAAATTTTAAACAAATTGGTTGATATTTTAAAAAGTTATCATTTTTTATGTGAATTAAATTTTGAAATTTTGTGAATGAACGTGCAATAATTTTGTTCATTAAGTAAATAAATTTTATAATTTTAATGATCCCCCTGAAAGATAAGGATGTAATTTAGCTTCAACTTTTGACTCTTCTAACCTAAATTTGAGCCTTCTTCTGGTTCTTCTATCTTCTAAGGACTTATTCATTTGTTTTTTTTGTGTCTTCGATATCCGCTTAGCACCCATCATAAGATATCCGCTTAGCACCCATCATAATGAAATAATTGAAAGTAAACTGTCCAAAGGAAAGCTGCAAAATCTTAGAGGAGCCTCCAATACTTTGGATCCATCATTGAAAAGAAGGGTTGCTAAGTCAACACCAATGTGGATAGCTCTTAAACTTAAACCATGATATTTATTCTTAGGTCACATTTTCAATATAATATTATTCATCGATTTGTTCTCATTTTGGGTATAAATATCTAAAAATTTACTAAAAAATAATTGGATGGTAAAGGCGTCTAAAAATTTGGCCTAATTAAATTAAGTTCTGCTGATTCCCTGCTATTATAAACATTAAAAATTAATGAAATGATTTACAGATGCCTTAATTTTCACTTTAATCTAAATGAGAACCATTAACTCCATATATGTCTATCAATTTAATTTCTGACTTGTTCTGGGTGGGCGTGGCATTTGGTGTTATCAAGACCACTAAATTCAAAGTCAATGCAGGAGTTGGAGAGTAGGCGTAGGTCATCATAATATTCAACCATTCAATGGAATCAGATTGTTTTGATTAATTTATTTCATTTAAAATATCCTCATTGGGTCCAATATTAGGCTTAGTATATCTATTTTCATGAAACGCTCGTTTCTTTGAATATTTGTTATCACTAGGCACAAATTATAAAAAAATATTAAGACAATTTTAATATTCACAAAAATGTTTTGTTTATTTCCATGGAAGCCGCCATATTTAAAGGACTGATCATTGTATTAAACAATTATTGGGGAGGTCATCCTTGTTTTAATACAATTGAGATAGAAAAAGTATAAGGATTTTTTTTTTTTTTAAAATTCTGACACACCCCACTTCTAACAAAAAATCCATATCTCAAGAACTATTTGGCTTAAATTAAAAATAATTACAAAAATTGTGTAGAATTAAATACACTTTAATTTGATATCAATGGTTGCCGTTAAATCGAAAAAAGGCTTTTTTCCATCTTTCACGGTGTACCTCCCCCCTTAAGAAGCTTGGAGATATATTAAGAAGCTTGGTGATATAGCTTGGAGATATATCAAGAATTTATAAATAAAAAGATATTCCTAACCTTTGGTGGGGACTTAACATCCAATTTAATCCAAAACATGTACTAAATGCACTACTTACATGAATGTCTATGCAGGTTTGTAGTCGTAACTGAATTGAATAAGGAAATGAAACATATTTTGAATAGGCCTAATAAAGTTTATTTAACTTATTAATATGAATTAATAATATAATTTAAAAATAAGCCTACGACTCTTACGTTGTATGACTAAAGTCTAAAGTTGTGGCTGGACAATCCAAGAGCCACGTCATTGAGGAACACTAAAATTTTAAGTCTGAGTGACTAAGTGAGAGAAAAAATGAGCACATATTTCACCTTAGTCTTAGTTTATTTTTTATCATCTTGCATTTTATTATGTACATAGCATTAAGTGTAAATAAATGATTATATACAGCATTTATTTGGTTTTTATTTATGAAATAAGTGAAATGGCATGTTGCCAGCGAAAAACGCGATCAAAGTTGCCCGTCAACTTTTCAAGTAACTTTTGGGTTGGCCACCCCTGCAAAATTAGGCTACACTACAGACAACACTTTTTTAATGTAGTTTTTATTTTTTAAAGATGTCGTTTTTCATGTACAGTTACTATCAAATACTAGCATCAATAATGTAAATTATATTTTCTTATTGACTAGTTGGGTTATGAATTGTTAAAATTTGCTAGAGGCTTGAATTACTGACTTTAAAACAAATCAACAAACGCACCTTCCCTTAGCATATCAACTTCTGTGGCCATGTAAAAAAAAAAAACTTCGGTGCAGATCGAGCCGTCGCGATACTTTGGGAGGCCTCCTGCTACTTTTTTTGGTGTTGTTCCACATACATTCAAAGTAATATAATTTGTTTTCTTTTCCATCTCACAACTTTGATTCCCTTATATATCCGAGGCCCCCCTGCAGCCGAAGGTTTGCATGTGCAACGCACGCGAAGTATCTCGTCGTGCACAAATAATTTCTTTACGACACGCACTTGGCGCGCAACAGTATTTTGCTGCATTTAAAATTTTACATTCTGAATAAAAGTTTACGGCGCATTGTTTTAGCAAAGACCAGTCAGAGACGTAAGAGAATGCATTTGATTTAGACCCCTCAGCCGACGCCGCGAGCCAAATACGCCACCGAATTTTCGTCCGCCGTGAATCCGCCGAAAAATGAACGAGTCGCCGTAACGTAATGTTTTTGCTTTCTTAAATTTCATGGCGTTCCGTTTTAAGGTATCAGGTATTGAGTGACAGAAACCGAATGAATGGAATGCATGCATGCACTTCGTTAGTAGGACAGCAAATAAAACTTTTTTTCCTATTGTTTGAAATAATAAAACTTTTTCTGAAGTGTTGTAAAAGTGTTTTATTGCTGAAGTTTTATTACTTCATTATTGGCCAGGCTTCAGTCGAATATTTCGTAATCAGCCGAAAATCAGCCGCAAATGTCAATTTACGGAGAAATCCGGCTAATCCGGATATCCGCAAAAAAATTATGTCAGCAAGCCAAATTTTTTTAAAAATTCGTCTGGCAGGTCTAATTTGATTGTCTCACTGCATTTTAAGCCCTTGTATTACAAACATGACTTGGGGAATTAGGCTTGGCTTTAGGAGACAAGACCCCCGCCAGCGACACACTTGACAGAGCCCCAACTGATTGGCTCATTGTTTTCAGTCGACAGAATGATAACGCTGACGTGCACAGGGTATTTAAACTATTGTAGCTGTAACTGTGCTTGTCAAAGGCAAAGAATCGCACAGATTTTTTGGGCAATCGATATTTGTGTCAATAAATGTCTGATAATGACTTACCTTGTTGAAATTAATGTGAGTTTTAAGGTACCTATTATTTTATAATCTTTCTTCATATTTCTTTTTAATTAGCTTTTTTTTTTTTTTAAGCTTGCGTACAACCAAAAGTAGCACACGCAGATACACTTATACACACACATGCACATACACACGCACGTAAACACACACACACACACCCTCGGGGGCATGCAAAAAGGGGGAAGGGGAGCAGGTGGTTTTTTAGGTTCCTATTATTTTTTTATTTTTCTTCATATTTCTTTTTAATTAGCTTTTTTTTTTTTTTTAAGCTTGCGTACAACCAAAAGTAGCACACGCAGATACACTTATACACACACATGCACATACACACGCACGTAAACACACACACACACACACTCGGGGGCATGCAAAAAGGGGGAAGGGGAGCAGGTGGCACTCATCTCGGGCAACACAATCTTTAGATAGGATCTTAGCAGGGAATAAAACGATAAAACTTCATGAAATTCACAAAGACAAGGGGCGCATGTTTCTCTATTTTGAGGGGCGGCATTTTCAGACTTAGCCGCCCAGGGCACTGATTTTCTCGGCTTTGCACATACTTTTTAGCTGGTGCACATCAAAAATAGTATGCTCCTTTTTTTTTTAGTTGATATACATATTTAATAATTGCAATGTCTAGTATTCTCTGCCTAGCCACCAGCAATATGTCAACAAATAGGCCTATACAATGGATTTCAAATGAAATTTTCAAATTGTACATTAGTTACAAGTTAAGCGCTTTTATATAATAAGTTAACTTTAACCAAATGATTGAATCGAATATTAACTAAGGCCTAAGGCAGTGGTTTGTAACCTGCATCCCCCAGAGCCGCATGGGTCTTTTTGAAGGCAAAGGTGTGCTTCTTTTTTTTTTTCGTTTTCCTTTTTTTGCTTATCTATAACGACATGCGCTCCCTAAATATTTTCCAAGCAGATATGATTGCTAAAAATAGATTCTCACTCCAAAAAAAGAAACGATGGTGAGCCACCAGGACTGGGGCAAGTGAAGGCTGTGCCCGCCGCAAAGCATGAATTCAGACGCCCTCTTTCGAAAAAATGACGTGTTAATACACAGATTTTGCATGAAAAATTACGAATTTGGTGCTTGATGCCTATGTATACATACTATGTATAGTTAAATTTATAACGAAACTCGCATAGGTCAAAGAGACCTTAGATGTGGGCCCAGTCTGGGCTAATGCATTATTATATTTTTTTCTAGGGGGTCACATTGATGTTAAGATGGCCCTGACAAGGCTACAACTACAAACACAATTCCCATCACCAGTCTTCTAATAGGCTAACCTTTCAGCTTTGTAAAAAATGCTTAACTTGAAACATAAAGAACTGAAGTCTCACCTTGTTTGACCAAACGGTTATTGCACCTTTTTGCGAACACGATATGTAGCAATCCAAGGCATCGATGTACTTCAGTCTTTGAATCGTGTCCCTTCGTGGCTTGTCCCCTAAAATGATTACATAGTACTATTTACTTTTCTTAAATCCCCAAAATCCTACGTCTATCATATGAGCTCCCCACCCACCAATCTTAACACCCGTTCACTGAACGAAGGTGGCGCGATGGTGACACAATTCAGTTGCGGCGAGACGAGTAACTGAGCGATAGAGTCACGGGTGTCAACAACAATAACAAAACGACAAACAAGGTGGAAATGCGAATAGAAATAACGTCTGGAATTAAAAGAAAAGTAAAATTAAAGTGACTGAGACCATCAATGTTTCACAGAATAGAGGCCCCCCCAAACCCCCCCCCCAAACCCCCCCCTCCCCCCAAACCCCCCCCCCCCACGCCCGAAAAAAAATTTGAAGACCTCTAACTAACAAGATACGAAATTTTTTTTTTCTTCTATTTTTTTAAGTCGTCTTATAAAACATATTTTATTGTAAAGCATATGTTCACTTCTTTCCCACAAAATGTAAATCTAAAGACCCAGTATTTTCGGCGCTGTGTTAATTGCTGTTCATTTCAAGAAATAGCAATGTTCTTACAATGTATTTTCTTTTATTCATCAGTTTCATTTCTCTAGATAAATCTTCACTTTCTTTTGATAACCATCTTACCTGCTGCTTCTCCCACCTTCCTCCTCCCAGACAAAAGAAATACTCGGACCTCCTCTCCCACTGAAGATTCGCCGAAATCAACTTTTGTATTAAAGCCGAACACCTGATAGGGGATGTCAGACAAAGGGAATTCATATAACAAGCAGTAAAGAACTTATTAAAGACGGGGAAAATGTTATATTCCTAGAAATTCGGGTGAAAATAGTCCATTATAGTAAGGGATAATATCAGGCTTCTAAAAATTTTAATCAACCATCTCATATACCACTAAACACAGTGCAAATAATTATTATGAAGTTATCTAACGTGACGTCACGCCATGCTTTGTAATTTTATTTATTGTAATTTGGAATTTTATTTAATTAATTAATGTATTTTGTATTAATCCAGCTATTTGTTATTGGGGTTTTTTTAAAACTGCAATCTCACCAATTATATTTAAGATCTTAACCCAAGCACGAATCATTTAAAACAAATATATAAATGCATTCACTCATATCACTGACGAATATTTTAATACACACAAAAAAAAAAAAATCTGTCAACATTCCATTGATATTTGTGATTGTATTCGGCTTATTTCAATACCTAAATTTAGAAACTAGGTCAAATTAAAGAAAGTGTTATGGTGAAGTGTCCCTATTCCCCAAGACTCACCTCACTCCAGTCAACTTTAGCTCCAGGATTTGTTGAGATTTTTCTGTACAGAGACTTGAGGTCCTGCTTCTGGATGTCCGGGCCAAACAGGTCACGGATTTTGGCACAAAATTTATCGAAACGAACATTTTCTAAAATAAATAAATATATATAAATATATATAAATAATATATAAATAATATATAAATATATTTAAATAATATATGAATAGATATATAATAATATAAATAGGCTTATGCATCAATAATTTACTAATAAACGTGTATATTAATAATACATTTGTATTTAAAATTGCCATTGCTCCCGATGGGATTGCACGATCTTTCCTACAGGGGAAAAACAATTTTTAATTTTTTTTGTATGGTTTTATTTCAAGGTTTTGCAAATTTCTTGAATTGAAATAATCCATTTTATTGTATTACCACAACCCTTTAAACAATTATCATCACTACAAAGCGGCATGAAAAAATTATATTTTAAGTGAATTTTTTTAAAAATCTTTCAACGTGTTGATCTCCCACGTCAACCCTCACCCCCTCCCCCTCCCCCCCCCCCCCCCCCCCCCCCCTGGCATGAAAAAATTATATTTTAAGTGAATTTTTTTAAAAATCTTTCCACGTGTTGATCTCCCCCGTCCCCCCCCCCCCCCTCCCCCCCCCCCCCCCCCCCGGACCCAATCTTGTCTTGTCTGTTTGCTTCCCTACCTACTGATCTTCACGTTTCGCTCTTAGAGCTGTAAAACTTATTACCCAACAGTTGGGGGATCATTGGTGTTTGAGGATCATTGGTGTTTGAGATTATTTTTACACTTTGCTAGTTACAAAAACCATCCTAAATGACCTGCAATCCATTGCCTGGACTCGTCAGGTGTGGTCAGGCCGTCATGCCGGGTGATGGCCTGGATAACACGTTCAACATTGCCTGTAATCCATTGCCTGGACTCGTCAGGTGTGGTCAGGCCGTCATGTTGGGTGATGGCCTGGATAACACGTTCAACATTACCTGTAATCCATTGCCTGGACTCGTCAGGTGTGGTCAGGCCGTCATGCTGGGTGATGGCCTGGATAACACGTTCAACATTACCTGTAATCCATTGCCTGGACTCGTCAGGCGTGGTCAGGGCGTCATGCTGGGTGATGGCCTGGATAACACGTTCAACATTACCTGTAATCCATTGCCTGGACTCGTCAGGTGTGGTCAGGCCGTCATGCTGGGTGATTGACTTGATAAAACGTTCAAACTTGTAGAGGCGTGCCTTGAAGGTCTTCTCTGTGTAAGGGCGATCACTCATCCGACTCGCCATCATGTTAGTATTTGTTTGATCACTATAACTGAGAGGGGTATGACGGGCAGCGCCTTTTAATGGCGCCTTCTCGTGGTCATCAAATCTTTTGAGCCCCTTTCATCTCCTGGGAAAAAGAAGAGGGGAAACAAGATAAACAACTCAAAGATGTAAACATTATAACATGGGCCCATTCGCCTGAACCCTTGGTACAACTCAAAAGTGTCAACCTTATAACACTGGGCCCATTCACCTGAACCCTTGGTACAACTCAAAAGTGTCAACCTTATAACACTGGGCCCATTCGCCTGAACCCTTGGCACAACTCACAAGTGTCAACATTATAACATGGCCCCATTCGCCTGAACCCTTGGTACAACTCAAAAGTGTCAACATTAAAACACTGGGCACATTCGCCTGAACCCTTGGCACAACTCAAAAGTCTCAACATTAAAACACTGGGCCCATTCGCCTGAACCCTTGGCACAACTCAAAAGTGTCAACATTAAAACACTGTGCCCATTCGCCTGAACCCTTGGCACAACTCAAAAGTGTCAGCATTATAACAAAGGCCCATTCGCCTGAACCCTTGGCGCAACTCAAAAGTGTCAACATTAAAACACTGTGCCCATTCGCCTGAACCCTTGGCACAACTCACAAGTTTCCTTGCCATTCTGACGCCAGCGTGTGAAAAACGTGGTAGCGGTTTGTAATTGAATAGAATGGGGAATCACTGAGATGAATCAGATACACTTTTAAATTATCAACGGCTAATGAAGGAAAACCCCATTGAACCAGTGTCATTGATGTAAGCCTGCCTTCGCTTGTCCCATATTATCGGACATTCAGAATTCGTCATTTGTTTTTTTTTAAAAAAGGATTTTTTTACTTATGATAAAATAGTTTGTCTTTTAATTTTAACCTGAATAAAAGCCGAATTTTATGAAAGTAGATAGAATCTGAATTAACATCAATCATAAAATGGAAACACAATTTAACGGTAGCTAATCATTAACAACTAAGTTAAAAGATGGATCTATATAAACATAAACATATGCATCTATATAAACATATGGGTATGTAGGCCTTTACGTTAACAACTGCTTTGTTGATATAAATAGATATATAGATATGATATCACGAGGCCCCCATTCTGCACGGACGCCTCATGTAGATTTAGTTAAGCTCAATCTCTTACCTTTAGGGCCTGACAGCCGAACGGCTTCTGAAACAATTTTATGTCATAGAGCCGAGCGTTAACCCTTTTGTTTCCTACGCTAAGTCCCTCCAGCACGTGTCACAGATTATGGCCTTTGTGGCAGTGCTTGTGTTGTTTAACGGTGGCACTGGAACGGGTCCGGTTTTGGGGGGGAGGGGGGGAGCAATGGTGTATATTTCACCAGTCTTATGTGCACTTGTAATCAATGACTCCAAAACCATATCAATCAGTCCCCAAAATTTTTCATTTATCCATAGAAATATATTGTTATGAAAAGTTTGGTAAATATATTATTTACGTATTACATTTTAAATCTATTCCACCGCATGAAGACATCGTGGTAAATCTGGCGTATTACATTTGCCATTGTTAACAAGTTCATAAATCTAAATATAACGTATTAACCTAGATAAATCTAAATATAACGTATTAATACTGAAATGTAAATATCACGTATTACACTAGAAATATAAATAAAAAGTATTACACTAGAAAATCTCAAGATAAAGTATTACACTAGAAATCTAAATATAGCTTATTACGCTAGAAATCTAAATTAACTTTTTACACTAGAAATCTGTACCATGAAGAAAGGGGTTGGGAAAGTCTTACCCCACTAACTTTTCTTCATAACTTAAACAGACATATTCGCTGTCATATTGTGGACACCCACCCCCCGCAAAGCCCCAGCCCCCCTCCCCCACTTTTCCAGGGCTTTCTTTGTTGATCCTCATCATCGTCTTATGGATGCGACCTTGCTGCCATTGTTAACAAGTTCATAATTTATGGATGCGACCTTGCTGCAATTGTTAACAAGTTCATAATTTATAGATGCGACCTTGCTGCCATTGTTAACAAGTCCATAATTTATGGATGCGACCTTGCTGCCATTGTTAACAAGCTCATAATTTATGGATGCGACCTTGCTGCCATTGTTAACAAGCTCATAATTTATGGATGCGACCTTGCTGCCATTGTTAACAAGCTCATAATTTATGGATGCGACCTTGCTGCCATTGTTAACAAGCTCATAATTTATGGATGCGACCTTGCTGCCATTGTTAACAAGCTCATAATTTATGGATGCGACCTTGCTGCCATTGTTAACAAGCTCATAATTTATGGATGCGACCTTGCTGCCATTGTTAACAAGCTCATAATTTATGGATGCGACCTTGCTGCCATTGTTAACAAGCTCATAATTTATGGATGCGACCTTGCTGCCATTGTTAACAAGCTCATAATTTATGGATGCGCCCTTGCTGCCATTGTTAACAAGCACATAATCAATGTGTCTCCTTTATCGTCTTGATTTAAATGTCACAGAAATATCCACGGTCAACGATTCCTAAGCAGAGAAGTCATGGTTTGTTTCTTTCTTTCCTTTTTTTTTATATTCTTCCTCTTCAGTCGTCCTTGTTAAATGGATGGTGAGGATTATGGCACCCCCCCCCCTTTTTTTTTTTCCTCGGGTAGAATGGTCTCATCTAAGGTAAAGTTGCATGCTTGAGACCCAAATGCGACCACCCGGCTTAGGTTTCGTTACTTTTAAAAAATTTGAGAATGGCTGATACAGATCTGGGCAGCACGTCATTAAATGTAGTTTAATCTCATTCCTAAATCGTCTGTGCACACGGGTGGGATCCTATACCCTCGGCTTGCCTGGCTTCTTATTATGCCGCATTAAACGATTGCCAAATTGCCGGGGCCGTGTCCTACTGAAAGGTCCGTGGCACCCGACACAATTGTGTCTTACCTTTTGGTGAATACCTGGTGGTGCCGCGCACAAGGGGGGCTCCAGTTGACATCTGGCGTTCAGTAAATCGTAAAGAAAAACAACATGAATTTTACGAATCGATATTTTCTCTCGTGTTTTGAGGTCAGGGGTCCCTCGAAATGTGGAAGCTCTCAAACACTTTTTCAACAAAGATGGCTCTTCCTTTATGGAGACCGTATTCGACTATTTAAATCACTTTGACATACCAAAGTATTCCTAACCGATTCGAGTACGGTTATTTAGATCAACCACAACTACTGGATGGCCGGGGCGCAAAAACAATACCCCACCTGCGGCGGTCGTAGGACAAGATGGCGGAACAACTGGTTTAATTTTATTTACTTATACCCACAAGTTACCGCAGATATAACCTACGCAGTATAATGTAACCCAAACTGTATAATGTAATTTAAGCAGTATTATGTAATCCAAGCAGAAAGTGTAAGCCAAGCAGTAAAATGTAATCTAAGCGGTACAGTGTAATATATGCAGTATACTGTAATTTAAGCAATAAAATGTTAACCAAGCAGTATAATGTGATGTATGCAGTGTAATGTGATGTGTGCAGTGTAATGTGATGTATGCAGTTTAATCTGATGTATGCAGTATAATGTGATGTATGCAGTATAATGTGATGTATGCAGTATAATGTGATGAGTGCAGTATAATGTGATGTGTGCAGTATAATGTGATGTATGCAGTGTAATGTGATGTGTGCAGTATAATGTGATGTATTCAGTGTAATGTGATGTATTCAGTGTAATGTGATGTATGCAGTATAATGTGATGTGTGCAGTATAATGTGATGGGTGCAGTATAATGTGATGTGTGCAGTATAATGTGATGTGTGCAGTATAATGTGATGTATGCAGTGTAATGTGATGTATGCAGTTTAATGTGATGTATGCAGTATAATGTGATTTATGCAGTATAATGTGATATGTGCAGTATAATGTGATGTGTGCAGTATAATGTGATGTATACAGTCTAATGTGATGTATGCAGTATAATGTGATGTATGCAGTATAATGTGATGTATGCAGTATAATGTGACGTATGCAGTATAATGTGATGTATGCAGTATAATGTGATTTATGCAGTATAATGTGATATGTGCAGTATAATGTGATGTGTGCAGTATAATGTGATGTATACAGTCTAATGTGATGTATGCAGTATAATGTGACGTATGCAGTATAATGTGACGTATGCAGTATAATGTGACGTATGCAGTATAATGTGATGTATGCAGTATAATGTAACCCTAGTGTACCGCGGGTGTGTGGGATCGGCCGCCCGGTGTGCCAGTCTCTGAGGTTGGCGCTAAATCTTAAACTATCCTGTATATAAATATATTTTATATAATATATAATACTTATATCATATATCATTTATTGGCTGAAACGTTGTAGGACATAGCCATTTGCAGGCTTCACACCAGGCGCAGTTTTTCCCCCGTACCGTCTATGCTAGCAGTGTAAATGACACTAGCAGTATAAATGACATTAGCAGTATATTCAGGGCCGTCTTAACAACATAGAAGGCCCTGGGCACAGCAATGCACTGGGGCCCCCAGCAACACGACATACCTGGGCCGTGAGAAGGGGGCACTCGCCCCATGCTTAAACAATGGGGGGGGGGCAAACAGTTCCTGATCCCCACCCACTCACCAAGAGGAATAAAAAATGTAAAATAAAATAAACACTCTTAACATAAAGTTAAACTTCGATGAATTCAATTTATTGATAGAAAAAATAAAATCATTCAAAATCAATAATAGTTTTAAAACATTATCAGAAATAAACTATAAATAATCACAGAGGCTGATAAATTATCATTATTGACAGATGGATAGATCAAATTATTAATATAAATCAACATAATCTTTTGCGTAATTTTTTTTTCCAGGGAATTTTGTTATTATTGGTTTAAAGTGAATGGTCAATAGGATGTCATTTTGCAAGCACGTAAGTGAAAGTCAGGTCAAACGCTGTTGTCCCATTATGCCACGAAGATGATTCTTACCTTAATTTTTTTTTCGATTTATATCTGGGAAAAGTAAAACTTGTTCACGAGAGTTATTCCCCTTTAAACTTTTTAAAACTGCCCAACTTTGATTCGCTTTTTATAATATAAATTTTGAAATGCGCTGATATATATCGTGGGTTAAAATTGGGAAATGGGGAATTTTAAATCCAATTAAATTGTCAAAATCTCTCAATATTCATTTTAAAAAATGTAAAGAATGATGCCTCTAATAGAGTGAGTCTAATAGAAACGGGGGGGGTGGGGGGGGGGGGGGGGGGCTGTGCCAGTGCCCATTAGGCCCATGCCTTAAGACGGCACTGAGTATATTGTAACCTTATCAGTATATTGTAACCTTATCAGTATATTGTGACCTTATCAGTATATTGTGACCTTATCAGTATATTGTAAGTTTATCAGTATATTTTAACACTATCAGTATACAAACATTATAATTAAAATTAAATCACCCAATTAAGTATGGAACCGCCCACCAACGTCTGTGGTGGTTTTGCTTGAGGTCAAGCCAAACCAAATCCACGATTTCGCATAGCAAGATGTCTATCTGGTATCCACACGGGACTCGGTAGATAATCTTGGTAGGCCTATCCGTTAAGCAAACGTCTGCTCGGCGAATTGTTATTGTTACACTTAACCGCTGTTTTTGTTGCAGAGTTGATCTCGACCCACCCCCAAATCAACACACGTGGATCTCCATGTTCCCTCTGGGGATTTCTTTCTGCTGGGAATTAATATTTCTCAGTGTATGTCCGCACGGACGGGGCAAGGGCGAAGTACCTCCGGATGGGGCGCGCAGTGAATGACATCAAGACAGCGCTTGTGATATAGTGGCAAGGTTATAGCTTGAATGAAACGCCCTGATATATATATATTGTATATTAATGCCAAGTAGCGAACAGGTAGATCTGAAGTATACTTGACCTGGACCTGGTCATTGACATCAAGTGGGGCTTCGGGGCAACTGCCAAGTTAACCCATGTGTTCAGACGGCCATTTGCGCATTAAGAATTTGATCGCGTTGAAATACTTTAATATATTTTAGATGTTAAGTGGAAACAGCTGAGCCCTTCTCAAGTATAGATTATAGATATGTATAGTATATAGATATTTGCACAATTAAAACATAATCGCCCAATCATAAAGTAAGTCTGTGACAGAGTTGAAATACGAGATGAGTTTTGACAAACTATCCCGACGAAGAAACGAATTTAAAAATGTCATGGTTTCATATGTACAAACATGCTGGGTAGAGCTTGGGAATTCAGAGATGATGGGTGGAGCTTGAGAAGTCAGAGATGCTGGGTGGAGCTTGAGAAGTCAGAG